TTATCATTTTGGGTCTGCTGAGCCCACTGTGCTCCCACCCCAGACCCACATGCCCTTGCCCTAAGGATATCCCACAGCAGTATTTAATGCGTACTCTGATTCACTCATCCTGCCCACGTTCTACCCCCCGTTTCTGTGCCACTCCCTCCACATTCACGGTTGTTCGCCCGCGCTGGCCGTGATTTCTGGGTGTTCCAACTCTGACGAGACATCGTGTATCCCTACAAAAGCCATGCTCTGACTACAGCATGAGCAAACTTTCCTGATGACTCAATTCTAAGCCCACACTGCGAGTTTTGCACATGTACCAGCTTCCCGCCCCACTCCTGAGTCACTCGGGACCTCAGCTCCACCCAGCAACCTGACCAGCCTTGGTGTGGGGCTTCTCTCTGGACTTCCCTGGAGATGCTGCCTGCCTTCTCTCCCCTCAGTTCATTGCTTCACCTTATACTTCACGCAGACGCCACGGGACGGGTTCCAGACGTCAGAAGGAGCAGGGATGCTGTTGGAGTAAAGATGGCATTGCGCAGAGGGCCTTCCTTCCTGACTTCCAGATCTGCACTCTCCATCAGGCTTTTGCCCTTGTTGCTGTCTTTGGCCTTTGACCCCACACCTTGCCCCCTCTCCTCCTCCTTGCTCCTCCTCTGTGAGGACACAGGCTCCTCCCCAGACACTGCAATCCAATCACACTTATGAGAGTTACCAGCAGCCCCATGTGGCCACGCGCACGTGACCGCCGATCAGCGTTCCACACAGCGTCTTCTAGAGCGCCTGTCTGGCCATCCCTAACCCCCGCCCCTGTCTTCGCCGACTCAGTCTCCTTCACCCTTTGCCATCCCCATCTCCTCTTTCCAGGTCAGCGTCCCTTGGGAATCTTCTCTCTCCATTCTTCCTACACTTGCCTAATCCCAGGGGTCAGCTACCACTTACTTGGTCTGCAGTCCAGCCACGTCTGGAGCACCGTTCTTACTTCCAGATGTGCAGTCGACTTTTCTGCCTCGAGGCCTCATAAACTTCCTAGAACAGAAATTCTCGATTCCCCACCCACAAATCTGTTGCCTTCTGAGTCCCTCCCAGCTCAGTGAATGAGAGCAAGCAGTCATGAGAGCCCAAGGGTTTGCCAGGCAGCTCCAGAGCCTGGTATATGCAGTATCCCTCCTCCACCAATCGTGAGATGCAGGGATGATCACTCTTTTCAGTGGACTGTTTGCAAGGTAGACTCCCACGTTAAGTCACGTGCCCTGGGCTGTGACTGATTGCATTGGCCTTGCTCTCCCTCCTCAAGCCTTTTCAAGCTGTCTGGAGATCACGTTCACCCCTGGACCCCTGCACAGCCACTGTCTGGTGTGAATCCAGGGGGACATGGACAGTGTCATCCATGTGCATCCTGGAGCTGACATGGTGGCATCTGCTCATGAAAGCTAGGATGAGAATGAACCCCAGAAGGCAGGCTGGGTGGTGCCTATGGCTTCCTGGCCCCATTCCACCCTCTCTGATCCTGCCCTGTGTCATCTCCTCCCCCACTTCCAGCCCACCCCACCCAGTGTGCTTAGGGGGCACCTCTCTGGCCAGGCACCGTCAGACCATGGATGCAGGGAACAATCAGTTATGGACCCCGAGGGTGAGGCAGCTGGGAGGGAGGCAGCCAGGGTTCTCCAGGGAAACAGAACCAGCGGGAAGTGCATGAGGGTGCTTCAGACAATATGTGGAAAAGCGTAATCACTAGATGCTCATTTTGGTGCAAAAACCCCTAAAACCCACGCATAGTTTTTTCCTAATAGACATTGCCCCTGAACTTGTGTACACACACACACTCTATCATCAGCCTGTCCACCTGGACTTATAAGGAACTGGCTCTGCACTTTTGGGGGCCGGCAAGCTGGCCTTGCAGCCTTGGTGCTGGCTGGGAACTCGGGCAGAATTTCCACCCTGCAGTCTGGAGGCTGAATGCCTTCCTCTTCTGGGGACCCCCGCCTTTCTCTTGAGGTCTTTGATGGGCGGGGCCCACACACATCAAGGAGACTTCTCATTGCCGGTGCTTTCATATCCCCCAGACACCTTCACAGCGACCTGTAGACTGCGCTCCAGATGTCTCAGCACACAGCTGGGCACTTCAGACTAGACACGCTGAGAAATCAAAGGAAGGACCCAAGGTAGGTGAGCACAGAAACGAGAGGCAGCCTACGTTCTGATCCCTGCTGGCCTTGGGGGAGGTGCAGCGGCTGCACGGGAGAAGTGGCTCCGATTCCCAGAGGGAGGAAGTAGACGAACAGGGGGAGCTGAGCCCTGATCTGGAGACACAGGGAGGAGGAGAGGCCCATACAGAGGCCGTGGCAGAGAGGACACAAGACGCGCACAGCTTTAAATGGAGGCCAGTGGACTGCAGTGTTCCTGAGGTGTGGGCTGGGATGAGAAGGGTGGCTGACCCCTCAGGGCAAGGCCCAGAATGTCCCAGGAAAGGTGGCCCATGGCAGCTCCCCAGCCAGCATTCTCACCAGGCCGGCTGAGAGCTACAGCAATGGCTCAGAGTCAGCATCCTATAAAAACCATGTGTTCTGGCTGGCGCCGCGGCTCACTAGGCTAATCCTCTGCCTGCGGCGCTGACACACTGGGTTCTAGTCCCGGTCGGGGCACCAGATCCTGTCCCGGTTGCCCCTCTTCCAGGCCAGCTCTCTGCTGTGGCCAGGGAGTGCAGTGGAGGATGGCCCAAGTGCTTGGGCCCTGCACCCCATGGGAGACCAGGAGAAGCACCTGGCTCCTGCCTTCGGATCAGCGTGGCGTGCTGGCCGCGGCAGCCATTGGAGGGTGAACCAACGGCAAAGGAAGACCTTTCTCTCTGTCTCTCTCTCTCACTGTCCACTCTGCCTGTAAAAAAAAAATGTGTTCTTCCAGAACGGTATTCTCTGCCTTCTCTGCCCTCGGAAGCAGCGCATCCAAACATTGTTCACACTCTACATGGCGACTTAAAGCTCAGGAGCTAAGTTTTTGAGAAAAAAAAATTAAGGAATTAAAAACCTTGTTTTTCTAGTTAAAGAAATAGTTCCTTTTCAGGGTAGAAACTTGGAAAACTATAGGAAAACCAAGAATGAGATACAAATGGGCTCCACTGGGAACGGCTGTTCATGGTGTGTCCTGCATCTCCCCGCTGTGCTCACAACTACGGGCCTGGCCCCGATGGACCCCCGCTGGGCCAGGCCACTCCCCTCAGACGCCCACCAGCGGCCTGTGACATTTCCACCATTGCCTCTCCTCAAACCTGACCCTCACAAGACAAGGCAGGTCCTCTTCCTCCTCTGTAGCCCAGGATACTAGGGGCTTCATAAACGTGTGAGTCAATCATGTCATGTGTCGTCACTGTATTTTAAATTTAAGTAAAAAAGTCCACACAGAGTATCCATACATATGCTTCCATACCGTGGCTCTGTTCATAACACATCTAGGGCCAGCATTGTGGAAAATGGAATTATAAGATATACTTATTTTGGTGCAAAAACATTTTGAAATCCATTCATACAAAATCTTCAAAAAGTTTATGTAAAGCAGATATTATGAAAAAACTATATATGGATTTCAAATTTTATGCCCAAGTAGACTCATCCATGAATTCCATTTTCTATATACTTTTAAGAGTTCTTTTGTATTTTTAATGCTGACAAATGTATATTCATTTATTTTCCTTTTTCAATCAAGAACTGATTTATTATGAGCAGTTACCCCAGCATCAAATGTTCTCATATAATGTAATTTTAAGGACTATATGAATTTTCATCAGATGGATGTACCATCATTTATTGAAACTTTCCCACTAGATGTTTTTCCTACCTATAAACACCATTTCCCTAACATGAAAAATGCTGCAGTGTTTATCTTGAACTTGAATCTTTGTGCAACCTTCCAATTCTGCTTTAGGGTAAGTTTTTGTAAATGGAGTAGCCAGAGTGTTTCCATGGCTCTAGAAACATATTTCCAAACTCCAGAAAAAGCTGTGCGATTTTCCATATCGGTCACGCCAGTGATTCTAAGAATGTTAGTAATCGTTTCCAGTTTGACAGGTGACATGGGCACTTCATTTTAATTTGCACTGATTTTATTTTTGCATCCTGGAAACAGATGGGCTAGTCGTTCCAAAATGTGCCCATCAGAAGAGTCCCCTTCTGAACGAGAATGCTCTGGAGAGCGGCCTGTGGAAGCCAACCCCACTTCTTATACATGGGGAAACTGAGGCCAGCAAAGGGCAGGGAGGTGCCCAGGTCTCCAGGGGCCCCAGGTCCTCGGGAGGCTGCTGCTCTGTGCCTTCCTGGTGCCTTCCCCTGGTGTGCTTCTCAGCAAACCTGAAGGCCACCTGCTCTGACCGCCTCGTCTGTGACAGCAAGCGTCTGATGGCGTCTTCCTTTTTCTCAGGAACAACAAAATCTGCAGATCTGAAAAACAAACCATGAAGTTCAAGGAAAAGGAAGCAGCTGAAAACAGAGACAGCCATGTGGCGAGAAAGAAAGCGGTCAGTCCTGGATTGTCTCTGTCCCCTCTGTGGGCATGCTGGTGGCCCGGGCTGTCCCTCCTCTGGGCAGCAGGGTTTGGGTGAATTGCAGTCTGGCGGGGTGACACTCAGGGACTGATGGTGTCCCTGTCCCTGATCCACGGGGGACTTTCTGGACTGGGGCAGGGGTCTCCACTCCCGAGCTCTCTTCTAACAGGGACATTGGTGTGGAAGATTACGTCATCCTCTTTAATGATCACTGAAACCCAGCCCAGTCCACCTGCCCCTTCCTCCAGGAAGTCTCGGGCAGCTAGAAAGACTCTCTCCCTTTTTGGACCTCCACAGGCCCTCTGTTAGAACCAGATCCGTGAACCTTCATCCAGAGGACTCTGTGCTGAACCTACCCCTGTGCCTCCCATGTGGCTCTCCTGCTCATTCCAAGGCACTGTCCCCATTTCACAGATGACGAATGAGGCTCAGAGAAAGGTAAAGGCACTTCTCCAAGGCTATGCAGCTAGGACAAGGTGGCCCATGTGTGACCCATCTGTGATGGGTGTGAAGACCACCATGCCTCGGAAGTAAATGTGTCCACACTTGTCATAAGTCTGGTGGTAGAACAGTCCTGTTCACCACATATGAGCCTGGGGTGGGCTCATACATATGAGGGCTCCCACATATGAGCCTGGGGTGCACAGTCCCCACCCTCGCTGAGCTCCTGTACACAGGGGCAGGTGTGTGCGAGCCCAGAGGCAGGGTGGTGAGAGGCCTGGGGAGGCTTCTGGGAAGGAGTGGCAAGGATGAGCGAGGCCGGGGTAGTCAGGAGGAAGGGCCTGAGCGAGGGCCAGGAGAACTAGAAGGAGCAAGAGCTCAATAAATACTTGTGGGTGGACGTAAGTGAGGCAAAAGTGCGTGTCAGAGCAGCCTGGACATGCCCGGCCCTGCCACATGCAGGACAGGAGGTCGCTTTCTCGGGATCTGCCCGAGAGCACAGGGCCACGGGCCAGGTGGGATGTGAAGTGGTGCAGGATTTGGAGGCAGACTGCTTCACCCTCTCTCTGAACTTCACTTCTCCCTCGCCGTCTGGTCAGGCCCGGCAGCTCCTCTGAGGGCTGAGGGAGGCTGGGTGATCCCTGGGATGTGAGCACACTTGGGAAAGCAGTGTAGACTATGAAATGGGATGGGGCTGGGGGGCTGGTCGCCCTCCGTCTGACCTGATGCCCAGCTGGGCTGCACGTTGCATTGGCCACCTGACTCCTGGTGCCTCTTGGGTTTCCATTGCTGATGGGGAACCATGGATTGAATGCCAGTGTGGGAGGGCTTACCTGATCCACTGAAACAGATGAGCACAGTCCCCACAGGATGGCACAGGAGGTGGGAGGGTCCTCCACGACCAAGGATGTGGCTGTCCCCACCTCTCCTCTGGCCCCTCCTGAGCCTAGGCCCTGACCACACCCAACCATTTCACTCCCTGCCCCCCCCCCCAGCACCCCTGCCTGCTGGCCTCGGTGCCATGCCCCCTCTGCCTGCATCCACTCCCAGGCTCACCCACCCTGTATGGGCTAGCCTGAGAACCACCTCCCCTAGGACATCTCCAGGATCCAACTGAGATCCTCTGGTGGCTCCTCCACACTGCCCCGTGCAGTGCCCCACGCCTGCCTGTCCTGTCGTAACTCAGTATCTCCGTGTTCCAATCCCACTCTGAGCCTACAAGCTCAGCAGAAGCAGCAGAATAAGTAGCCGAAAACCAACTCAAGAAGCAGCCAAACCTCCCAGGGGCGTTCCCAACCGACGGCTCCGCAGAATGACTCCCGGGGGCTGGTTTTCCTCTCTGGACGCCTTGGCTGCCTGTTGGCCTGTGCAGCACCAGGCCAGGCATTTTCACTCCCATTTGTTGCATTTGGGCAAAAGTGGCAGCTCAGCGTTCAGTGCCTTGCCTAAGGACAGGCGGTTGCAAAGCAGGAGGCAGAGCCATGACCTGTCTGTCCTGCCCTGGTCGTTCAGGAGGAGCCTGGGCCAGTGCCAGGTGCCCCCGCCTGCACCCCAGGAGTGCAGACTTTATAGGTAGGATAGAAACCTAAAACCTTGAAAATCGACACCTTGGTGGAGATCCTGGAGAGGAGTCCCAGGCCTCCTGATTGCTGTAATGACAGGGAGCGGAGAAAAAAAGTGTTGGCTAGTGTCCCATGTAGGCAGGTCCATCACCGCATTTCCTATTGGGTGCCCCCCCCGCCCCGCCTCCCCGTGGACTTTGCCACCTCATTCCTGGAGATGCCCTGCAGAGGCCCCACCCAGGCCTCCGTCCCACCAGGGCCTGGCATCAGGGACAAGGCATGGACTCCAGGGAACTGAGCTTCGCTCCCCGGAGGCACCACAGGAGCCGCCTCGGGAGGAGGAGGAGGAGGAGCCAGGTGCCAGCTGGGCGGAGAGTGCAGGTAAAGAACACTGGGCCTCTGAGTGCTGTAGGCCAGCGGGGAGGCGGGTGGGGGAGGGGAGTGGCCTCCACTGGACAGCAGTCAGCTCAGCCTGGCAGCTGTTGGGGCTTTGAGGCAGGGAGCCATGTGCTTGGGTCATACATGCTGCACATGTGGCCTTAGCATGGCTCTCCAGCTCCCCCAGCCTCGGGTTGCTGGTGGTGCCCTCCTCCTCTCTCCCTGGGCATAGCTGTCACAGTGCCCCCTGCCCTGCCCTGCCCTGCCCTGCCCTGCCCAGGTGGGAGCTCAGGTCAGCAGGGGAGGTGGGAGGAGACGGTTCCCGCCTGCCCTCCTCGCTCCCCTCTGATGGGCACAGACAAGGGAGGAGTCCAGGTCCTTTAGGGTGGTCAGGCTGGGAGCCCGGGGCCCAGAAGGGGAGCCCAGGGACGCAGAGGAAGTGGCATCTGAGCTGAGACCCAGGGGGCGGGTTTAAAGGGACCCTTCCAGCAATGAACCCAGTCAGCTCCAGCACCTGGTGCCGCAGTGACACATTCTGGCCGCACCTGTACCTGGCAGCAATGAACCCTCCCTCTGATCACAGGCACCCCCAGAGTGCCAGGGCAGAGAGCAAGAAGCAAGACCCTGGGGCCACAAAGAGTAGGGGCCCCACTACTGGGGCTGGCACTCGTGGCACCCCCCCACCCCACGGGCCGGGTCGGGCTACCTCCTGAGGACCGGACTGCTTTTCTCCTCTCTGAATAATCACCCATGGCGGGGGGGGGGGGGGGTCCTGTTACCACCCCACTCCACAGGTAAGGAGCCAGTTCCAGCAGCCACGTAGCTGGCCCAAGGTTACACACAGTCACAAGTGGCAGGGCTGAGGGTCAGACAAGCCAAAGAGATCCAGGTGAAAACGGGGAGGGGAGCCTTTGAAGGCGACTTGTCCGGGGAGGAGACGTTGGCCACAGGACGCAAGGATGAGCTTCCAGGTGCACGTCGTAGAAGGGACTTGGCTTGTTATCTGGGCCACAGCTGGAGCTGAGGGAGCCCTGGCGAACGCTCACCTTTCTGACTGCCCACTGTGTGGAACCCTACACGGCTACCTCCGGCAACACACAGATGATGCAATGGACCTGTGCAGCAGGCCAGGATGCAAACCTCATTTCCTGGGGCGGGGGCTAGGGGGGCAAGCTGAGACCCAGGACGGTTGCAGCAACTTGCTCAGGCTCCCACATCTGAAAGGTGGAGCGAGCCCAGCTATAGAAGAACAAGATGGGCGGAGCAGAGAATTGGCTATCAGGTATCTGCTTTCCTTTTCAAGCAGTATTTGGCCAATTTCAGGTCCCTGAACTGTGGACTTTGCCTTGTTCCCCTCTGTAATGCCAAAGCTTTGTCCTGGCATCTAGACCACATACACACACACACACACACACACACAGGCGTGCAGTTACAGGGAAGGTACCTGCTGCTCTCCATCATCCACCCCACAGTCTCCTAACCAGTCTAGGATGGCAGCACCATCTACTCCTGGCTCCAGCCAACTGGCCAGCCTGTGCCAAGGGGCGCAGGTGTTTCTGTTCCATGGCCCTGTGCTGGCCGTGGCCATTCTTGGATGGAGGTGCAGGGCAGGACTCTGAGGGGCAGCACCTTGTTCTCAGCACCCAGACCGGCATCCCCTTGTCTGCAGCTCCTCGTCCTGGGATGCTTGCACCAGCCTGTAGACTGATGTCTCAGCCAGGACCGTGTGTGGGTGCACATATGTATGTGTGTCTGTGGGGGCTGTGGGCAGCCTCAGGCCCTGCATGACCCAGTTGAAGGGTCAGTAGTGGAATGGCAGTGTGGTGTCGTGTGACCACCTGAGCTCCAGACCCCAGCCCAGACAGCACAGGGACAGCTTCCCACACCTGCAAACGGTACGATCCAGGGATTCTGCTTAGAGATACTGCTCGGAACAACACCTAGCTGGGCTTAACGAGCGCCAGCTGCTGCGGACACCAGGGCCTCGACTTGCTTTCTGCTCTGGCCAAATTCAGCTAAAACAGCAGCACGCAGCCGCTTGAGGGCACCTACTAAGGACGCAGGGCTGCGTTTCTGGGATCCTCCACGCAGCCTGCTGAAGCCGGCGGGCCCACGCTGCACGTGGCCTTGGAGGACGAGCCGGCTGCCCCGCAGAGTGCCGGGGGCCTTGGAGGGCACCCGCCTGCGCACCACTCTCCCTGCTGCGGGTTCCGCACCAACGTGCTGTCTCTTCCTTCGCAGAGATGGACCTGCTCGCTCGTGGGGGCCTCGCTCGTGGGTGCCTTCGGCTCCTCCTTCCTCTATGGCTACAACCTTTCGGTGGTCAACGCCCCCGCCCCGGTGAGTGCCCGCGCGCGGGGTCTGCCCGGCAGAGGGCGCTGCGGCCACGCGGAACAGCCGCGCGTCATCTGCCTGGGGGCCTTTGTAGGAGACCCCTGTCCACACTGGTACTGGACACCGTGGGCAGGCGGGACCAAGTGAGCGAGGCCAGCCTGTCCCCGGAGAGACGGGCGTGCTGGAACCAGACGGAGATGAAATGTGGTTGGTGCCTGGGGGTTGCAGTGTGGGTGTCCTGGGGGAATGTTGGGAGGGGACAGGGGGCTTCGGAGGTCCCTGGGACCCTCAGGGTTCCTGGTGCAAGAAAGGTGCGTGACGGGCCTTCGCATCAAGTCTCTGCTCCCGATTTGTCCTTTGTGTTGGCCCTGCTGGCAGGGGCCTGTTGAGGGTTTGCTGGGTAGGACCCGTCCTTGGCACTGCTTTTGGTCTGAAATCAGATCCACTTGCAGTTCTCCCAGGTGTCTTCACGCCGAGATGCTGGCGTGCAGGTGACGTTGGGGTCCCCCTACCTGGGCTGCTGGGTTTGGGACAGGGTGCAGGTGTGGGGGGGAGGTGGAGAGGTGTGCAGAGGCCTGAGGTCCAAGGAACCTTTGGAAAGTGCAGGTAGCTCCCGGCGGCGGAAGCCAGGCTAGGGCAGCTCTGGCGGCACAGGCGCCCTGGGTACGAAATGCAGGGCAGCGGCGGTGGAAGGGGTCTTTTCCAAGAGTTCTCACGAGCTTTGGGTTCTGCACGGACAGGGCAGGGACTTGGACTGCATTTGTACCAGGGCGACTCTGTTTGTGGCTTGTTAGTTTTGCTTTTTAATTCTGTTAATTTGCTATTTGGGGGTTGTATACAAGTTGATGTGAAAAGTTGATTCTGATGTTAACAGCATGAAGACATGGGGGCCTGGATGGCTGCTCCAGGCACTTATAGCAATCCATGGTCTTTGATTTTTTTTTTAAATTTATTTATTTGAACGGCAGAGTGACTGGGTGGGACATGGGGGCAGAGATATTTTCCAACCACTAGTTTACTGCCCAAAATGGCCACAATGTCCGGGGTTAGCTCAGGTTGAAGCCAGGATCCCAGAGCTCCATCCACGTCTCCCACATGGGTACAGGGGCCCAAGCACTTGGGCCATCTTCTGCTGCCTTCCCAGGTGCATTAGCAGGGAGCTGGATTGGAAGCGGAGCAGCAGGGACTCGAATCACACTCTGCTATGGCACACCCATACTGCAGGAGTTAGCATAAAGCTCACTGTGGCACAATGCCAGCCTCGGAGTCTTTGATCCAGTCATGTGATGTCATCTGAATGTGGGGCACGGACACGTCCACGTTGGCCTTTGAAGAGGACAGGAATGTGGATTCTGCTTCATGTCGTAAGCTCAGCAGAACGTGCAGCCGAGCTGGGGAGACCTTTGTACCCATAGCTGTGGAGCAGAGACAAGTGGAACTTGAACTTGGAGCGGAATGATGTGGGTGCTTGCAGTGGCTGCAGGAACACGAAGAAGGAACAGTTCAGCCGTTGACTTGGCACGGGGTTGTTGAGTGCCTACTATGTGTCCAACACTGGGAAGCGGGGAAGGCAGCCTGGAGGAGGCAGTGTTTGAGCTGAGTCTGGAAGGACGGGCAGCATATCCATAGGCTGGGGCAGAGCAGGCACTGGAGCACAGGGAAGGCCTGGCTGTGCCAGAGCTGTGGTGCGCTGGGAACAGGTGCTAGTGCCCGGGAGCGGGCGATGGGATGCAAGAAGAGGTGGAACAGCTGGGTGAAGGGAGAAGACCTTGGACATTAAGGTGAGGAGCCAGGATGTAGCCTGAGGGCACCAGGGAGCCATGGCAGGTCTATGAGGTGGGCAGCGTGACACACTCATCATCTTCTAGAAAAACAACGTTGATGTCGGTGGGCAGGAGAGGAGGGCCAGAGCTAAGTGTTCCATCGGACAGATGATGAGCTGAAAAGAGTGTGTAACCTGCCAGGCGTCCATTTGTGGAGAGGGGGGATTTCTGAGGACCTGCGTGGCCAGGGGGCCCTTTAGACTCCTTACTGTGAGTTCCACCTGTTCGGCAGCGACACACGTGGAAAGAGCACGTGTTAGGTGCCAGCCCTTCCTGCAGGCACTTTCCATGAGGTCCCCATTATACAGATGGAAAAACTGAGGCACTCACCCACTCTCACACCGTGAGTGCCAGCCAGGGTATGACCCAGACAGGTTCTGGTTTCCTGGTCATCAGACTCCGTTCCAGTCATTGTTAATGAAGTTGTAGAGGCTGGGAGGATAGCGTGCTCCAGTACCACCCAGGCTGGGGCTGAGCTCACCCTGGGAAGCCCTCCCAGGGCGGGGGCTCAGGCTGGGGCTGCCTGGGAATCCCAGCTTCCTCATGTGCAGTGCAGCCCTCGCTGCCGCGTGTTTCAACAGTGAAATGACGGGAGCTGAGGTGCTGGGGGAGAGCAGCCTGGGTGCAGTTGTCGCTCTGATTCTGCTGTGGGACTTGGGGGGCAGGGCCACCCCGGCGTCAGGGAGGCCAGGGACAGAGCAGAGACTCCGAGGGATGGACTCTGGTGCCCGGTGGGAGCCAGGCTGCACCTGGGCTCTCCAGAAGGAGAGGCCCTGGAACAGAGGAGGTGTAGATATTGGGGTGTCCACCTGCAGAGGTGACTGCGGGGGCACTGTTGAAGCTCCGGCAAAGTCACTGGCTGCCAGTGGTGGCCTGGCACAGGGGCCAGGGGAGGCCAGGCCATGGCTGGACAGCGACAGGGCAGGGAGTCCTTCACTGCGGGGGCAGCCCACGCCCAGCTGACCCGGCCCTGGCTGCCACCCAGCCACACCCCCCTTTCTTTTTAGGATATGTTTATTGACTTGAAAGAGAGACACAGGGAGATGTCTTCTATCCGCTGGTTCACTCCCCAAATGGCCACAACAGCCAGGGCTGGGCCAGGCTGAAGCCAGGAGCCTGGGTCTCCCATGTGGCTGGCAGGGGCCTAGGCTCTCCCAGGCACATTAGCAGGGAGCTTGATCGGAAGTGGAGTAGCTGGGACACAAATCGGCACCCATATGGGATGTCGGTGTCACAGGCAGTAGCTTTTCCTGCTACGCCCGACACCAACCCCTGTGCTTCTGTTTAAAACCTGCCATGGCCGTTGGCAGTGACCCAGAGCAAGGCCTCAGCCAACCTGGGCAGTGTGCCAAGCAAGAGATTAAAGATGCAGTACGCTACGGGGCTGCTGCTTAAGTTCCAGATCTGTGTTTCCTGAAGGTATAGGCGGGTGTTTGAGGAGTACATGTGGGCTATTAGCCAGCGGTACCCAGACAGCCGAATTGAAGGAGAGAATTACCTCCCTCAACCAATATATAGACACATAGCATCTTTCCTGTCAGTCTTCAAACTATTAATAGGCTGAATAATTGTTGGCAAAGATCCTTTTGCTTTCTTTGGCATGCAAGCTCCTAGCATCTGGTTTGGGGCCAGGAAAATAAGGTCTATGCATGTGTGATGGTTTTCTTCTTGAGCAACATGATTGAGAACCAGTGTATGTCGACAGGTGCACTTGAGAGAACTTTAAATGATGTACCTGTGTGGTCTAAACTGGAATCTGGTCACCTTCCATCCATGCAACAACTTGTTCACATTCTTGACAGTGAAATGAAACTCAGTGTGCATATGGATTCAATCCCACACCGTCAGTCATCGCCCCACCTGTCAGCCCTTTACATTAAGGGATTTTGCAGGAGCAGCATGACTGGCATTATGAAGGCCTGCACTGAAGACAGCAAGCTGTTAGTACAGACCAGACGCTTTTTTGGCAAGCTCTTTGTACCTCTTGGAAAACCTCAATGCATGATGGTTTTCAGTGCTGGCACATTTTGGAATTCTGCACATTTTGTGGAGTGCAATAACACCGTATAGTTTTCCTCCCCCTCCCAAATTCACCCAGTTAATAGTTTTTTTTTTTTAATGTAGACATTACTTGCAACTTTCTTAGACATATTTGAAAAAGTAGAAAATTGAGTTACAATTTGATTTATTTTAAAGATGTCTGTTAAATCTGTTATGCTTTTATATGAATTTTCATTTTTTATGGTTTAAAATCAGTCTTCTTGGGAATGTAGCCAAAGTTACCAAATACTTTATAAGAGTTCAATCAGACATCTCTAATTTGGCCATGTCCAATTTGTGTAGTTTTCAAGACACTGCAAGTTGTGAACAGTGCATTATACAAGATTGTAGGGGGAAATCTAACATCCAGAGTACTCTACCAAATTGTGTGTGTGTGTGTGTGTGCGTATGTGTGTGTGGTTATCAGAGAACTACTGTAACACCAACTGCTTTTTAAGTCCTATTATGTAGTTCCAGTGTCTTGCCTTGACCAGTCTGATGAGTTAATTTAACTGGGCCTTTATACTTAACTACATAAACAACTAAGCAGGTGTCAGTTAAATAAGAAAGTTTCAATTTATTGTTCAGTTAAAAAAAAAAAAAAAAACACCTGCCATGGCTCCCTGTGCACCTAGAAGACAGTGTAGCCATCTGTGGCCTGAGTGCCCAGGGCTCCTGGTGACCCCTGTTCTCATCACTCAGCACCTCTCCCCCCTCCCTTTTCTCTATCCACCTGGCCCTTCTCCAACTGCCACCCCTCAAACATGCTGCATGCTGGCACCACAGGGCCTTTGCACTTGCCGCTCCCACTGGCTGAAATGCTCTTCCCAATATTCTGTGCTCCTTCCTCTGGTGACTTCTGCTCAAGGGCCCCTGCTCAGGGATGTCCTCCCTGGCCAGCCCATCCAAAAGTGCCCCTCTGCAACCCCCAGGCCCTCACCCCATTTGTTTTTTTAAAGATTTATTTATTTATTTATTTGAAAGTCAGAGTTACACAGAGAGGGAGAAGGAGAGGCAGAAAGAGAGAGGTCTTTCATCCACTGGTTCACTCCCCAGTTGGCTGCAATGGCTGGAGCTGTGCCAATCTGAAGCCAGGAGCCAGGAGCTTCTTCTGGGTCTCCCATGTAGATGCAGGGGCCCAAG